AGCTCAACAATGAATACTAATAGCTTCACTTACATTATGGTATTGGTCAGGGGGTGGGGAGGACTTATACATGGAAAACTACCAAATACTCCTAGAAGGAAACAAAAGAAATGTACACAAATGGAATAAGCTACCATGTTCCTGGATAGGCAGATTAAACATTGTGAAAATGTCAATATAACACCATATACATTACAAGTTCAAAGCAATTTTAATCCAAATCCCACCACATTTTTTCAATGAAAAAACTAATCACTAAATTTATATGGAAAGAAAAGAAATCCAGAATAAATAAAACACTATCAAAAATAAAAACAAAGTAGGAGGCATTTCATTCCATGACTTTAAAACCTATCAAAAAGCCAAGGTAAGCAAAACAGCCTGGTACTGATATAACGATAGATATTAAGAAAAATGAATTAGAATCAAAAACCCTGAAATACAACCAAATGCCTATAGAACATCTAATCTTTAATAAAGGGCTAAAGCAAATCAAGTGGGCAAGAGATAGCCTTGAATAAAACAGGACACATGTCTCAAACCATGTACGAAAATGAACTCAAGATGGATCACAGACCTAAATATAAACCACAGAACCATAAAGACCACCAATGAAAAACTAGGAATAAACTAAGGACCCTAATACAAGTCATAAACACAGTATTGAGTATAATGGAAAATATCCACACTATAAAAAATAAAACAAAGCACTGGAACATGATAAAATATGACATTTATGCACACCAAAAGACTTCATCAAGAGAGTTAAAAGAGAACCTACAGATTAGGAGGAAATATTTAGTAATAATACATCAGAGAAAGGAATAATCTCAAAAATCTATAGAAAACTACAATATCTTAACAAGAAAAATACAAATAATCTATTGAAAAAAATTTCCACAAGGCATGAATAGGAAATTTACCAAAGATGACATCCAGGTGGCCAACAATCATATGAAGAAATATTTGCCTTACAAATTGTATGTTACAAATTTAAATGACAATGTGACACCACCTCATACCAACTTTAAGCAAAATTCAATAAAATGTAAAATAATAGGACAACAGAAAAGTGGGTGAAGGAAGACGTCAGACAGGGCAAGATATTGCAAAATAATAACTTATAAATTATCAAGGGCTCATGAGGGAGTGGGGAACCAGGGAGGGAGGGGAAAAGTGAGGAGCTGATGCCAGGGGCTTAAGTGGAGAGCAAATGTTTTGAGAATGATGAGAGCAATGAATGTACAAATGTGCTTTACACAATTGCTGTATGTATGGATTGTGATAAGAGTTGTATGAGCCCCTAATAAAATGATTTTTTAAAAAAAGAAAGAAAAAGATTTTAAAAATATAACAATTTTATTTGGTATGAGAATGAAAATTATTATTAATTAAAGTGAATGATTCATATTTATATATCATTCCAATTTGATTTCCCTCTAAAATAAATTCCTGTATTTAAAAAGAAACATAAAATAATAAATAGTTGAGAGGACCTGGAGAGAGCATAATGCTCTTACGTTGCTGATGGGACTGCAGAATTGTACAACCACTATGGAAGCCAGTATGGCACTTCCTCCATAAGCAGATGTAATTATAAGTGCCTTATGATTCAGCAATCTCTCTACTGGGAATATATCCTAAAGAAATAAAGACTACATATGAACAGACATGTGCACACCTATATTTATTGCAGTAATTTTCATAATAGCAAAAACACGGAAACAACCCAAAGTTCTCCTTATAGAGGAATAGGTAAATAAACACTAGTATACTCATACAACGTAATATTATGCATCAATAAAAATGATAACTCAAATACTGCAAGACATGGATACACTCGAGAACATTATGCTTAGTAAACTTAGTCAATCTTACGAAGATAAATATTTAATAACATCATTATCAGAAGGAAAAACAAAGCAAAAGAAATGTGGTTTTCACAACAAAAGATAGCACTTTGATGACTCTGAGGAGGTCAGGGACTTGGGTGAGAACAGGGAGAGGGCACAGAGAGGGCATTGAGGACAGACGGAGGAAGGACGGGCACTGGGGAGAAAGAGAACCATGTTTATGGGACGTTTAATGGGCTATTGTTGCTGATTTCATTTGTTGAGATGGTGCGTGTAGCTATATATAATGTGCTTCTTTAAAAACAAACAGACCAAAAATATCCCTTCAAATTCTTTACCCCTCAGACCTGGTCTGAATGGATAAGCAGAAGAAGGAAAAGTAAAACTGAAATGGACTTGGAGTCTTTAGCGACACATAAGTTCATTTCAAACAAACAACAGTAAAATAAATTATGGTATTGGAGAAGAATATCGACTATGTTAAACTACAAGAAAGAGCAAATCTGTCTTGTACAGGTAGACTATGCCTTCAAAGTCAGGATAATGAGATTTTGCTTTGCATACTTTGGATATGGTATCAGGAGGAACCATTTCCTTGAGAGGGACATCATGTTTGGTAAGTAAAGAATAAGTAAAAAAGAGGAAGACTTTTGAGATGTATAGACATAGTGGCTGCAACAACAGCTTCAAATAATTATGAGATTGGTGCAGGAATGGGCACTCTTTTGTTCTGTAGTACATAGCATCATTATGCATCATAATCAACTTGATAGCATCTAACAACAACAACCATACAACAGAAACCTGAGTTATAATAGTGTGGCCTTAGCACCTTTAAGATAATCTTACTTTGGGGTTAGACTCACCCAGAAGCAGTTCTTTACAGAAGGCAGGTGTTTCAAATGATTCTACTAGTCCTATCATAGGATTGAAATTGTTCCTGGGATAATCATCACATTAGTTTTTTTTTAAAGTACTTAAAGAGGATACACAAGCTTCCTCTATAAAGTGTCAGTTATTTAAACTCTACCTCAGTTTCATCTTCAACTTTGTTATGCTTAAATGAATTCCCTAGTCATTTTGAATGTAGTAATTTCTTATTAAATGTAGCCACTGTTTTTCTGCTCAGATTTATAATGCGAGATATGCATGCTTCTTCCATAAACCATCTTTCTTTTTAAATAGTCACAGATAAGGAGGGATGTAGGAGCATCTGTTTAAGTGTTATGCATGTAGAAAGAATCTCATGTGACCCTATGTGTGAAATGGGCATAGGTTTTCATATGAGAACCCTGTAGCTTTCCCCAAGTCACATAGCTCCAAGTCACTATTGCATTCACTACACTTGTTTGCTTCATGATGAATAAATGAACAAACATTCAACTACTCACTAATGAGGAGCCTAGATGCACAATACGTCTCTCAATTTCCAGCGCTGTAACACTATCCCTTCTTTCCATAAAGGTTGGAGGCAGCAAGTCAGAGGTGCCAGGCCAGTGATATCATCAGGAGTGCTACCCTCTCCAGGGGACTTTCTCCCATATCAGACCCTACGGAATCCTGTTGTCCTTGTTGTTGGGTGCCAGGGATTGGTTCTGACCAGAGACCCCATGTACAACAGAAGAAAACACTGCATGATCCTGTGCCATCCTCACTACTGCTCTTGCGTTTGAGCCCATACAGAATCCTAAGTAATATTTATTATTGATTTTAATTACAGAATAAAATAAGAGAGTTGTAACTTGTTTAAATGCAATTTTTCTTAGATTATATGAATAATTTAAAATTCCTGTCATTGAGTTAATTATGATTCATATCACCCCTGTCAATGGTTTCTGAGGCTGTAACTCTACAGGGAATAGACTGCTTCATCTTTCTCAGGCAGAGGAACTGGTGGATTTTAACAGCTGACCTTGAGGTTAACAGTTCAATGCTTAGTGGACAGCACAACCAGAGCTCCTGATTATTAGAATACTAACAACAAATTATTTTGTAAAATCTCTTTACAAAATAATTTATAAATTATCAAGGGCTCATGAGGGAGGGGGGGCGGGGAGGGAGGGGAAAACTGAGGACCTAATGCCAGGGGCTTAAGTGGAGAGGAACTGTTTTGAAAATGATGAGGGCAATGAGTGTACAAATGTGCTTTACACAATTGATGTATGTATGGATTGTGATAAGAGTTGTATGAGCCCCTAATAAAATGATTTTAAAAATCTCTTTACATTGAATTACATTATTAATTACAATTTTATTAGTAATGGAGCTGTAGCCTTGTTTTATCTCTCCTTTCTTTTAATTACTTTTTCATTCTCAAAGGGGTTTTTGATTTAGATGCACAAATACTAATTACCACAATTTCAAAACTCATTGCCATTGAGTAGGTGGCAACTCATAGTGACCCCCTTGTGGGTTTCTGAGACTAACTGTTTACAAGAACAGAAAGTCCAATCTTTCTCCCTCGGAGTAGTTGGTGTTTTCCAACTGCCATCCATGAGGACTGCAGCCCAACCTGTAACCAATACACCCCCAGGGTTTCAAACACACACACACACACACACAACACACACACACCAAAAACTGTATAAAATCAGCGACTATAAAAATACCAGCAGCAATGACTAGCAGAAGGTCATGCTTCTAGTGCAGGCAAACCATGTGGTTCCAAGAGTCACGATAATTGAGTAAGAATGACAGCTCTTACTAGTGCACAATACAAGATTCAAAAAGTAAATTAGCATAGATTTTTAACCTTGCAGGTATATTGATACATGTAAGCTGGGCTTATGAAAAATAGAATTGTTATTATAAATAATTACAGGGGTATTTTAAAATAAAAAATAATACAATTCGGCGGAAACACAGCACTAACAATTTATAGTCATTTTGGTGTCACCACTGTGAAAGTGTCACCCAGCACCCCCTCTTCCCAGCAGTGAAGCGTCTACCAGGACGAAGGGCTCATACCTTTGGAGAGGGGACCACTCCCCCCACCCCTAGGCCTCTCACAGGCACACTCCCTTGGCTGTAACCCTTAGTACCCTTGCTCTCCCTGGAAGGTGGCATTGACACAACACGAAGGCCTGCCTGGGGGCAGGCACTATGACATAAGAGGGGCGGGGCCTCCCCAGAGGCTAGTGCGCAGAACCCAGCCCGCCTCTTGCTCCAGAGAGATCCGGCTCCACCATGGAGGAGTACCGTCGCCACTTTGAGGAGGTACCGCCCCTCGGCCGCCTGAGAACGACCCCCGCCCCTGCCCCCGCCCACTCCAACGCGGGGTCTCTGCAGGCTGGTGTCTAAGCGGAAGATTCGCGCAGGAGTTGGTGTGCAGTGTCCCGCAAACCCGGGTCCCTCCTCCTAACAGGGCACCCGCCCCGCTCGCCCAGCTCCCCACTCCCCTTGCGGTCCTGTAGATGGGAGTGGGGGGCTGGTTCTGGGGGGCTGGTTCTGGGAGCCTGGGTGGCCAGGGCAGCCAAGAGCGCTAGAGGCGGGCGGTGGAGCCAGTGCCAAGGGATGGGAGGCTTGATTGACTAGGGGTGCATGGGGTGGGGATGGGATGGCGGGCACCGCCTGTCTGCTGAGCAGGCCTTAGAAACCTGTCTTCCCAGCTGCTTCCTCCGCCCTTGGCTTCCCCATAGCAGGTGCTGCAGCCCCTAAGCCCAAGGTACTGGTGGCAAGCCCCTCCCATCCCTAAAACTCTCTCCTGGGTGGTCTGGAAGGAATTGTTTTATGGATTATGAGCCCTTGCTTGCTGACTCGGATTTTCCCAGTCCTCACCAGAGCTCCATGATGTCAGCTGTTATCTTCCCATTACTGGTGGGACTTCGACTTAGGTGATTTAGCCTGTTTAAATGCCAGGAATGGCAGATGCTGGATTTGAACCCAGGTCTCAGAGTACACATCCTTTGCTTCCCTTTAACCACTAGCAGCATGAGACCTATTGGATCCCAGCAGAGTGTGGGACAAGCCTGCCAGGGCAACATAATCACAGGTCTTTCTATGCAGTGGAAGGCACAGGTGAATGATGCAGAAAAAGAAAATGTGACACAAAATGTTATGGATTGAACCACTGGGCAAGACTTCTGACCCAGTGGGTGGCATATTAAGGATGAGGGTTTCTGTAGAAGCGAGAATCCCATTTAACTTAATTCGGTGATGCAGGTGGCTTTCACAAGTACTTGAAGGTAATTGGTTAAATGTTCTAATTTTAGAAATGGAGACTTAAAAGGCCAAAAAATTTCAAAGACTGACTCACCCCCAGGTATCCCCCCCATCTAATTATAGTCTTCTATCCCTAAAAGGTATCTTTACTATAGTATAAATATATTTGAAAAGAAATGGAGTTAGATGTGTTGCCATAACTACCCTGATTTAATGGAATGGTTAAAAGTTAGAACTCTTCCAGAGTTACCTCAGAAGAAAGGCCTGGCAGTCTAATTCCAAAAAAATGTCAGCCATGGAAGACACTATGGAGTGTAGTTAAGTCCTCTGCACAAAGAGTCATCATGAGTCTTAACTCCATGGCAACTGGTTTGGGTTTAGATTTCCAAATTGAAATGAAATGGGCAGGATTTGATTTGTAGGGCAGTTTTAGAAAGAGCGCTGGTGACACAGTGAGCTAAGCATTGGACTGCTGACCATAAGGTTGGAAACCACCAGCTGCTCGCAGGAGAAAGATGAGAATTTCTACTCCCATGAAGAGTTACAGCCTCAGGAACCCAGAGGGTCACTCTGAGTCAGAATTGACTCGATGGCAGTAAGTTTGGTTGCTTTTTTAAAACTAGATCGTTTGGCCGACTTTTTTTTAGCCAAACTGGTAGTTTTAATGGGGCCCAAATGAGGCTTCTTTTCATGATACCCCTAAGTATGTAGAGTAGTTTTACATTTTTGCTATTTGAGAGTTTTAGTGTTTAATGAAATGAGTAAACCTGTACTTAAGATGATATGTGCCAGAACCTGTTATTTTCAGAATTTTTTTGTGTAGACAGCTTTTATGTTATATATGTAGTGTTTTTCACAAAATTGCTGATGTCATAAAGCACCTAAAATGTTTCCATGGAAACACATCACGTATTTCTTGAAGTGCCTCCAGGTTTAGATTTCAGTCTTATCACATAGCCTAGTTTTCTACTCTAGCACACTTGAATGTAATTAATACTGGCTTTTAATTTAGGATTCTCACAAGCCATTCTGGAAAAACTATCTTTCTAGACATTTTTTATAGTACTAAAATAAAAATAAATTCATCAGTAAGCCAGTTTATAAAAGTTACATTTTAACCTAGAATAAAGCAGAGGAAGCAGAAAACCCCACCAGCTGCTGTGTAGAAGAAAGATGAGGCCGTTTGCTCCTGTAAAGATTTACAGGCTCTTAAACTCTATACAGAGTCACTGCGTGGTGGCATCGACTTAATGGCAGTGGGTTTAGTGTTCGGTGTTTTCCTCAATGGCCCATGCCAGTTTCACACTTAACCGGAGCAATTTCCTATGTGCTGATAGCACATAATCTTTATATCCACCCTTTGCTTATTTCTCAAACTTTACAGTCCAGCAATTCTCAATCTAGGATGTTCTTCAGAATCACCAGGAAAGTTGTGTGTTTTTAACCATTGTAAGGGGTTGCCTAGACTTGCCCTAAACCCCACTGCCAAAGAGTAGATGTGGACTCACAGGCTTCCTGAGATTCTAAACCTTTACAGGAGCAGATAGACTCCTAGTAGAGCTACTGGGCTCCTTTGACCTAATGAATTGCAATCTCTGAGAAGGCAAATGAGGAAACGGTCTTGTTTTATTTTGTTGTACTTGTTAGAAGTGTTTTGAATAAGATTGGCAGTCATGTTAAACCTGATGGCTTTTATCCATATGGCCTTTATTTCCTATCCCTAGCACTTGTCTAAGCCAATTAAGGGGCTTTTTGTATCATCAAATCTACAAATATAAGGAAGTTTGGATTGAAAGCAATTTCATCTTGTGTTTTCTTTTTCAGGTTGGATTCAATGCCGAAGAAGCTCACAATATTGTGAAGGACGTGAGTTTCAGTTTGTTTATCTGGATGCTTGTATGAAGTTAGAAACCTTCATGTTAAAACAACAAGAGTTTTAATACGTATTCACTAACTCTCTACAGGGATGCCAATTCTTATTGTGTGATGCCAGGCATTTTTGGCTTGCTTGGACAGATGTTTAAGTACTTTCTTAGCCTGTTTTCTCTATTCTAGGACTGACGTTCTATCTTTAGAATAAAGTAACTTATATTCTAGTAGAGCCACATATTTTAAATATGAAAGGTAATAAAATATGTGTATGGGTGTATATGTGTGATTATATATACACATATTATAAATATATATGCATACACACACATACTGGCCTTAGTACCACAGTGGTTAAGTGCTCAGCTACTAAACAAAAGATAGATCATTCAGAGACTCACAACTGCTACACAGGAGAAAAGACCTGGAAATGCCTCATAAAGATGACAGCCTAGGAAACCCTATGGGGCTCTTCATACAGGGTTGCTCTGAGTCAGAAGCTACTCAACCACACACAAGAACTAGATAACAGATCCTAGAAATGTCTACCTTCGAACATTGTGTGCTTTTTTAAAAAAGTTGAATGTAATTGAAACAAACTCTCAGACACGGGCCTGATGGACTCCCTCACTGCCACCGAGTCTGTTCTGACTTATTGTGACCCTACTGATCACGAATTACTGGTCTGACAGTAATGTAAAATCTTAAGGAATATTTGGTCCGTGAAATTTGGTCTCCCTGTTAATGAAAAAGACCCCAACCCCCCAAAAACTCCCTGTTAATGAAAAAGACCAAAAACCTCACTACTGTTGAATCAATTCCAAGCTCTAGTGGTGTAGCAGGTAACACATGGGGCAGCTAACCATAAGGCCAGTGATTTGAAACCACCAGCTGCTCAGGGGGAGAAAGACTAGGCTTACTACTTCCGTAAAGGTGTATAATCTCGGAAACCTACTGGGTAGTTCTATCTTGACCTATAGGCAACCTGTTAACAAATAGGGGAAAAAATCCCCTTTGGGAATCAATTCTAGCAGAGGAACTTTAATAACATGTGAATTGTGCCATGTGTAAGGTATTTATCAACACTTATTCATGAGTCATTATTCACTTGACGAGCACAAGATGATATGACCTATTTTGTATTGTGGCAGGCCTGTATTGTGAGCCTGGCTGTTGGAGCCTATGTCCTTGCTGACCTTGACTCCCTGTCATCTGGGCTAGACTGGATCTGCCCCCTGGGCACTGTGTCCAACATCAGCTCACCTTGACAAAATTCATGTCTGCCTGAATGCTCTGTGGCAAGACTAACCCAGAGCTTGCCCAGGTCTTGATCTTAAACAACCAGCATCAACTTGTGGTCTGAGAGGGCTAGACTGACAACTGAAAATCCTGCCTTATTTTAAAAGTTCAAATTCCTGTGTTAAAAGTGCATAGCTCTTCTTGATATGATTTAACTATCGAGTTTTATGAGATATGAATTCTATCTAATAAAACTGTTGGGGGGAAATTTAATAAAATAGAAGATTAAACAAAACCTCCTGTATTTCCCAAGAACATTGATAACAGAATGCAAATGTTGTCAATACCAAGATCATAAAAGTAAAAATGAGAGAATGGAACGGGAAGGACAGGAATAGTAATAACTTCATTGTACAAAGTGGAAGTTGAGAGGGAATGTTATTGGTCAGGGGGACCTGAAATCTTTGAGTGACAATTTAAAACTTGCCTTTTTCTGTAACCAAGCTCTAACCCAAATTAAAACACTAACGAGTCACTAGAAAGAGAAGAAAATATCGATTTCATTTTCTAGTAGAGACAGGTTAACGATTGCAGCTTCGTTTGGAAGGGAAAGTGAGTCAGCAGAAACACTTGTCCAGACTGGTGTCTTTCATTGGCCTGGGTAGGGAGGGAAAGAGAAACCAAATACTACACAAGCCAAAAACCTTTGGGAGATTAACTCACCTAAATGGGAAAGATGAAACAATGGTTGTCACCTACAGTGAAGCTACTCATTTCCTCTCACTGAAGATCAATAGCAGTGAGGACAAGAGCACAGAGATATTAAGGGGAGGGGGGAAGACTATGTGGAATAGGAAAAATGCTATTAATCGTACAAATATATTGAACTAAGTGAATTCTTTGTATGGAGAGAGGGAGGGTAGGAGGTAGCAGTTGATATGAGGGAACAACATTCTCCCGTGTCACAGCAGGAACTCTATGGATGTTGCCTTTCACTGATAAATCAAGCAAGCACAGTTTGTTTGGAGATGTGTAAGTAAACCTTAGCCAAATAAAAACAAGCAGGTGCCGCATTAAAAGTAGTTTCTTTTAGAGAACAGGACTGGAGATGGGGAAGGTTGTGAAGGGACACACTTGGGGTTTGTTTGTTTTTTGGTAACTAAAAGCACCACCATTTTTTTTTAAATCATTTTGTTGGGGGCTCGTACAATTCTTATCACACACCATTGTGTCAAGCACATTTGTACATATGTTGCCATCATCATTATCAAAACATTTTCTTTCTAATTGAGCCCTTGGTATTAGCTCCTCATTTTCCCCCTCTCTCCCGACCGTCCCTCCTTCACGAATCCTTGATAATTTATAAATTATTATTATTTTTTCATGTCTTACACTGTCCAATGTCTCCCTTCACCCACTTTTCTGTAGTCTGTCCCCCAGAGAAGGGGTTATATGTAGATCATTGTGATCAGTCCCCCTTTTCTCCCCAACCTTCCCCTTCCCCTCCTGGTGTCTCTGCTCTCATTATTGGTCCTGAGGGATTTATCTGTCCTGGATTCCCTGCGTTTCCAGCTCTTATGTGTACCCATGTACATGCTCTGGTCTAGCTGGATTTGTAAGGTAGAATTGGGGTCATGATATTTGGGGGGGTGGCGAAGAAGCATTAAAGAACTAGAGGGAAGTTGTATGTTTCATCAGTGCTATACTGCACCCTGACTGGCTCGTCTCTTCCTTTTGATCCTTCTGTAACAGATGTCCAGTTGCCTACAGATAGGCTTTGGGTCTCTACTCCGCATTTCCCCTCATTCACATTGATATGATTTATTGTTCTGGGTCTTTGATACCTGATACCTGATCCCATCGACACCTCATGATCACACAGGCTGATGTTCTTCTTCCATGTGGACTCTGTTGCTTTTCAGCTAGATGGCCGCTTGTTTATCTTCAAGCCTTTAAGACCCCAGATGCTATATCTTTTGATAGCTAGGCACCATCAGCTTTTTTCAGCACATTTGCTTATGTACCTATTTTGTCTTCAGTGACTGTGTCGGGAAGATGAGCATCACAGAATGCTTAATACTTAACAAATACATAGATCTATTTTCCTATCCGTATATATAAATATATTTACATATGTACATGCCTGTATTTAGACCTCTATAAAATGTCCTTTGCCTCCTACTTCTTTTCTCTATCTCCTTTTACTTTCCTCTTGTCCCACTATCATGTTCAGCCTTCACTCGGGTTTCAGTAATTCCTCTTGGTTACATTGACCTTGATCAAGCCCTACCAGGTATCCTATGGCCTTCTTGCCATAGATGTTAGATGACTTTTTGTTTCCTTGCCCCTGGGCTTGTTAACACCAACTTCCTTTCCCCTGCCTCCACCTCTTCCGTGTCCCCCTGGAACTGTCTTTCTCCTCTGGATTGTTTACCCGGCCTATCTTATAACACTAAGCACAACAATAAGACAGAGCAAAACAAAATAACAAAAAACCATTGACAAAAAAGAAAAGCCTATAAGTAGTTCCATGTCTGTTAATTGACCTTTAGGAATGTTTATAGGTCGTATCTGATGGGGTGCCATGCTCTGGGCCCAAAGTCCATTTTTGGTATTCCTCGGGGACTTCTTTACTTTACTCCCCACGCTGCTGTGTTGCATGCCCTTAGCGTTTCTCCCTGAGCACCACCATTTTTAAACTGGTGTATATATAAACTTGGCAGTGGCTAGAGGGTGCTAGAAACCACTAGATGCATACAGGGCATCAATTGGACCTAAAGATTTTTGCAAGTGAGGTAAGTAATGTCAATCCTTTTGCTAAAACTATTTTGAAATCCAAACAAACTCTGATCCCTTATGGAAGTGAAAAATAAACTCCTTGTGAATTTTTAAAATATAGAAGGTGAAAAAGTCAAAGAAGTCCGAAGGTGCCTACAGGCTGCTTTTAGGTGCCTTTCTAGCATCTTCTATCCTCCTTTCTTCTCCTGAGCCACCTCTCTTTTGCCACAGAAGCATTTAATTGACAATGATTGAGAGCAAGAGCAACATGATAACATTTCAGTACTTCCTAAATATACATCCGTTTCAGCAGGCGGTTTTATTTGTCTTATTTCTTGCTGGAATTCTTTTCCCTGATTCCTGAACTCTCATACTTTACTTTTTATAAGCTGAAATGTCAAAGTCAATCACCTATCAATGATGTGATATATTTTAGTATTACTAACAGAATTTGTTTTAAAAAAACTTAAAAGAAAAAAGTTAGTTACAAATAGAATTCACATAAAACTTAGGGTCTAAAATGATTAAAAACAAGAAAGTGTCTAGAAAAAAACGATGGCAACATATGTACTAATATGTCTGATACACTTGATGTATGGATTGTAACAAGAGTTGTAAGAGTTTCCAAGAAAATGATCTTTAAAAAAAAAAAAACTTAGGGCCAAGCATATTTGATTTAGGATGCCCAGGAAGTATATTAAAGTTAATCTCCTTCCAACATCAAATGTTTGACTCTTCAACGTCATCAGGTCCTTAGTTGGACCCTGGGTAAATAGGACAATTTAAATACCTCATTGTCCAATAGGCCTCCTGTTTAATGGTAAATCAAAAGGCTATTGCTAATTAATTGTAATAGATCCCTCCCAAAATCAAACCCACTGCCTCACGGCGATCCCTACAGGCATTCTGAGATTGTCCATTTTTTATGGGAGCAGACAGTCTCCCGAGGAGTGGATGGTAGATTTGAACTACTGACTAATTTGCAGTCCCATATCTATTTAATAGCACCACCAGGGCTCCTTGGTATTACAAATGTTTTCACTTAATTACTTAGCTAAAGCTTAGTGGTTCTAACCCACCCACTAGCTTTGGGGGAGAAGAATCTGTCAATATGCTTTCGTAAAGATTAAACCAAAAAGAAAGAAAAGAAGGGAAGAGGAGGGAGCTGAATCTTTTGCTGTCAAGGCAATTCTGACTCATAAGCAGACCCTATAGAACAAAGTAGCACTGCCCCGTAGGGTTTCCAAAGTTGTAATCTTTATGGAAGAAGACTTCTCCATGCAGTCGAGTACTTTACCACTCTGCCACCAAGGCTCCTACAGTCTAGGTAAAGAACCCTATGGGCAGATCTGTCCTGTCATAAAGGGTCATCAACTTGATGACAGCGACAGACTTAGTTACCAAGGAGAGCCCCTCTCCAATGGTGTCTTCTAGTGTTTGGAGGAGAAATTGGAGTTTTAGGTAATCTGAAACAAAAGTAAGTGCTCTCTCTCATATAGGAAATGTGGGTCTGTTTATACTAGTTGCCATGGCAAAGGAGGTTGGGGTGGGGTGGGGTAGGAATGGGGGAGCTAATAATGAGTACATTAAAGACGAAATTGTTCTATGGTGATTTTACAACTGTCTTTAATATGAGTGAACTATTGAGTTGTATGATATGTGAATTATATACCAATAAAACTGTAAAAATAAAATTAAAATGCCATCGAGTCAGTTCTGACTCATAATGACCCTATAAACTGGAGCAGAACTTCCCTTCTGGGTTTCCAAGACTGTAAATCTTTATGGGAGTAGATAGTCTCATCTTTCTACTGTGGAATGGCTGGTGGTTTTGAACTGCAGACCTTATTGTTAGCAGCCCAACACATAACCTGTGTTGTCACCAGGTCTCACAATCCCCACTGCCATCAAGTTGATTCCAACTCATAGGCCTCGTGTAGTTTCCAGGGCTGTAAATCTTTATGGTAGCAGCCACCTGCATCCTCTAGGGTGTTGAAAGATGACACAGAGGCTGGCCTTAAAACTTTGAATTGTCACACTAAATCCAGGGCTCTTATCAGGTGTCAGAAGTGGATGTAAATAAGCAGTATGGAGAATGATCGAACTTTCTAGAATATATGAAAATTGGTGTTAGCTGAGCATTTACTTTCATGGTACATGTGCTATGAAATGCTCACACAGGTGATTAATTTGCAAACAGCGTTTAGAACTCATCCACTATAGCAACGGGGAAAAATCAATGTTTAAATGAACCCACACAGTTCAAATCCATGCTATTCAAAGGTCAACTATGTTTCATTCTTGGATTTTGACTGCATGGAAGATCAGTGCCCCTAAGCTCCTATTTGTTTAAGGATTTACTGTGTGTGTGTGTGTGTGTGTGTGTGTGTGTGTGTGTGTGCGCGTGCGTGTGTGTTTAATTCACCCAACTGCTCTGTTTTCTAGTATGAGACCCACTTCAAATCTCAACTATTTCAAAGTGATGCTTTAACCAATAGGTATCATTATCTTATACCCCCCACACACTATCATCTATTTTATAACCTAACTCATTGCCTTCAATTAATCTTCCTTGGTGATGGAGAGATTACAGTTCTTGTATTAGCCTCTCCTCTAGATTATTAAGTCCTTTACAACAGAGGCCATTTCATATTGATCTTTATATGCCCAATAGTATATCCACTTGATCATGCAAGTGGACACACTTTGAAAGCTGTTAAAGCAATTAAAACAAAAGAAAACGCACTACAATCAAGTCTATTCTGAATTATAGTGACCCTATCGGACAGTAGAACTTCCCCCTAGGATTTCTGAGACTATGAGTCTATGTAGGAGTCTCATCTTTCTCCCAAGAAGTGGCTGGTGGGTTTGAACCAGCAATGTGGTGATTAGCTGCCCAATGCTTATCTCTGTTATAGTAACCCTGCATAACAAGTAATTAATACATGCATATTTCTAAGATATCTTATTGGGGTATGAATATCTTTGATATCTTGATTAATGTTTTTCTGCAATTTTTGTAAAATATGTCCTTTGGGGTGAATTAACTGTTCTCTTCTCTTTAAGTGTATAGATGAGGTGTTAGGTGGTGAAGATTATGATCAAGATGATATCAATCAATGGACTGCGAGCATCGTTGAGCAATCCTTAGCCCATTTGGTTAGGCTGGGGAAAGCGTATAAATATATTGGTAAGTATCATTATTCTTCCTCACTGATTTATTCACCTCTCCCTTTGTGATTTTTTCCCTAAATTTAGAGCAAAGGGTCCCAAACCTATTTGGCCTACCACCCCCTTTGCAGAAATAATAACTAACAGTCAGCATCATCCCCCGACAATTAAAAACTGTTGCACGATAGCCCATAATCCAGGATATAGTGTAAGTATCTGCTTTTGCGGCCCCACCCCAATCTTTCCAGCATCCCCAGGGAGCAGTATTGCCCACTTTGGGGATCACAGGTTTAAAGCAAAGCTTCTTAAACTGTGGATTGCACCCCATATGGCATCATGTAACTGAATGTGGGGATCATGAAAATGTTGGCAATAGTAAAAGATTTCTTCTGAACAAGCAATGCCCAAAGATTAATTCAAAATCAAATGTATAATGAATCCATGGTGTTTCTGGCTATACTTGTCCATGTTGCAAATTTTTTGGCAAAAGGGATCAATAGTGGAAAACATTTCAGAAGTCCTGCATTTTAGAGAATATATAGGGATGGTAGATATTTATATTGGTGGGCACTCTATAGAGTGTGAAGGGCTTCTGGCTAGCTTACTGATCCTAAAATAATATATGAGATGCCACTTAAACTGGAGGGACCTTTTACTATTCAAAAGCATTCTAAGCAACTGCCAGTCATCTGTTTGTCCACGGTAGCAGCACCCTTTAAATTTGTATTACCTATTTTCTCTGAAACCCCCTCTGACTTACTGTTTTTCAGACATCCCATGCCTCCTTACATGTAGGACTGTGACGTTCCACTCCATAATTATTTTGAAAGTTGAATATGTTTTTTCATATTCTGTATTATGCCTGGGGGACAAGACCCACAATTGGCCCAGAAATGGACTGACGTACCATTCTCAGTGGTTATGGAAGTGGCTAAAAATCAGACTGGCTCCAGGGAAGTCAAAACCATGATTTTGGAGAATGAAAATGAGAGACTTTTTGTTTTCTTTTTGGTTTTGGTTTTTCAGTCATTTTGCTGAGTGTTTTGTTTTCGATTATTTGTACAGCATTCAGGGCTCTAGACTCAGAAACTTAGATATTGCATACCCTTTCCCTTCTTTGTCTTGGGTTTGTTTGCAGTGACCTGTGCGATCGTGCAGAAGAGTTCATACGGCTTTCATACAGCCAGCTCCTGCTTTTGGGATACTGTCGCTGATGGTAAGAGACCTTGCCGTTGACTTCCAACAAAACCTAATGCTCATTTATTTACCTCTTGTTAAACTCTGAAAAGAAGTGTATCAAGACACTTGCTTTGTACCAAGAGACAAGTGTGCTTTCAGACAAACATGAAGTATAAAGATTTAAGCAACTGAAGGAAGCATAGTCAAACCTAATGAGAACTGTGGATCTATGTTTTGGTGATTTTGAAGTGTCACTGGTATTTTAAAATTCTGTTTTTTTATGTTTTCAGGAACCTGTACTGTAAGATGGGAGAACCAAACCATGAACTGCATCGCCTCTGTTTTTGCCATTGCAATTGTCCTGTAACTGACTAAAAATGTGAGGACAAAGCTATTAACTTGAGTTTGCCAGTGTCTCCTTTCTCAAAAGAGTCGTATAGTAGCTACTTATTAGTGCACTAGGTACAAAGTTTGCAGTATGCTTCAAAGCTATCAACAAACTGAATTATGTAAGCAAGTAATAGCATAGTATGTTGGCAGATTAATTCTACATAGAATCATTAAAGTAGGAACGATTGAATGTTAGCAGAAATCAATGCAGAAATATGGCATGATATAAAATGTAATCTTATATATACATCAGTTTTTCACTAACTGAATGTGCCTAAAGAAACGGGGGAATCCATTTAGAGAATAAAATTCCTCTCTCTAGAGACATTAACAAGAATAAATTAGATGATCACAAAGCTGCAAGGATGAATAGGGAGACCATATGAATTAGTTACCCCTTGAGGTTTTTTGGTTGTTACTGTTTTTTTACTTCACCTCACTTAGTTTAACATAACAAATAGTGGAAGATACTTGTTCTCCCCCCCACCCCTGTCCATTACTATTACAGTAGCAACTATAATTAACTTGTTTTTTTTTTTCTGAGAATTGTGAAATCAATGATTTTCTGAATATCAAATGATTGGATTTACATTTGAGTGTAAATTAAATCCAGTGACCTGAATTCCCTAGTTAAACAAAACACTGTTACAGTGTATGGCAATAGTAGATGATGCAGCCAACTGCCTTGCAGTTCATTCATTTCACACGGAACAAACCTTGGTGAATACCTCTTCTGGGCATTCCAGTCATCAATATGCTGTTGAGATCCTTGGTGCAGCTTGGTGCCTGTTTAGTTGGCAAACTGTAGCACTTGTGTTGAGGAAAGATAAAAAGAGTTTTTCAGAAGAGAAGAGAATGGTGAGTGTGGTTGTTCATGTAGAAGGAAGCAAAATGAAAATAATTTCTTATTGCCAGAGAATTATAGCTGTAATTATTTCGGGAGGAGATAGGGAAGGAAGAAATGAAATACTCTTTATCCACAGGCAACATGATTATGGACATTTTAGATGTTATATCAAGGATTGCTCCTCACAAATTAAAAATCCATCATCTATGCAACTCTTGCTTGCAGGCCTCATTAGAAATTAAACTATCTTAGCAGTGAATTTCATCATTGCTTTAGTTACAACCATCTGTAAATAATTTGAAGTATTTATTATATGAGGTTCAGATTGAGGGCAGTAAAGTATAAATTAACAATCTACTCCACTAGCAAATAACTCAGGGCTTATGAAATAGAAAATTCTATTAAGGAATTAAAAGATTAAAAAAAGGAGGATACATACAGCTGGCTACCAAATGCGAAGTCAATCTGCTATTTGACCTTGAAAACAAAGTCAATTCTGCACACCATCAATACATAGGATTATAGTGAAATCATGATTCATTGGAATTTTTTGAGGGAAAGAAAAAGCTTGGTATTAGTACTGACAATATTAAGGGAATATTGTTTCAGGAATACTCTGTGCATGTTTGATGTTTTGCTGAATAACAAGTGTTCAGCATTTAAGAAGAATATAAAAAAATACAAGGATTTGACTTAAGGAGGTGGTCAATAATTTTTGACAGGTCAAAAATTCTCGTCGCCATTACCTTTATGCTACTTTATGCTGCTGGCTTTGGGGCCCTTGATGATTTTAATAGCGACCAAAATGTCTGTGTTCTTAAGGCTCACTTTTGATGATTGTGGTATAGTTCTCTTTTTTAATACATAAATGATTATCGCTGTTGAAGGCTGATTTTTTATAGTCATTAAAACATACCTCGTGAACCTGCTATCTCTTCTGCTTCTAGTGGAAATATAATAAAGATTATCCACTTGCGCTGTGTTCTTGTTTCTGAATTATCTTAGATTGGTTACAGAAATCCTTTCAGAAGTTCTAAAGAGGAATGGGGATGATAAATTAACATGGGACCATATAAATTGTACATAAAATACACCTCCCAAGTAGCACCAAAAACCCAGTGTTCATCATTGCAAAATTATTACTAATAGCTGCTAGCTTCTGCCTGTTGTGATTTTAACAAAAACATTATAACATATTATTGGATTCTAATGATTATTTTTGGTAATGGACCCTGCTCTATTTGTCAACTTACAATTGAGCTGTTACTGTTTTTTTTTTCTTCTTTTAATTAAAGACTAAGCATGTGAAATTAGGGTATTCAAATGTAAGTACCAACCAGCATTTTTTGTAAACCTGTAATTTTATCTTATTGAAGCAACAGTATTCTACCCTAAATAATGGTAACATCTCTACATTTTCTTATATATAAAGAACTTTTATGCTCTTTCCAAGTTGGGTGTTATCTAATTATGGGTCATTAAATGTATTTCTCTTCTTTTTTAATAAATCATTTTATTGGGGGCTCTTACAGCTTTTATAACAAGCCATACATCCACTGTATCTAGCACATTTATACATATGTTGCCATCATCCTTTTCAAAACATTTTCTTTCTACTTGAGCCCTTGCTATCAGCTCCTCTTTTTTCCCTCCCTGTCATGAAGTCTTGATGAATTATAAATTATTATTTTCATACCTTACATGTCTTCTTTTTCCCTTCACTCATATTTCTGTTGTTTGTCACTCTGGGGTAGGGGTAGGTATACATCATCATTATGGTTGGTTCTTTTTCACACCCCCAACCTTCCCCCTAACTTCTTGGTATCGATACTCTCATTACTGCTCCTGAGGGGTTTATCTCCTGGATTACGTGTGTCGAGAGAGCTCTTATCTGTATCAGTGTATGTGCTCTGGTCTAGCCGGATTTGTAAGGTAGAAGTGGGGTTATGATAGTGGGGAAGCATTAAAGAGTGTTGTATGTTTCATCAGTGCTATACTGCACCCTGGCTGTCTTGTCGCTTCCTTCTGCACTTTTGGGAGGGGATGTCCAATTGTCTACAGATGGGCTTTGGCCTCTCATTTACAGTGATATATTTGTTTTGGGTCGCCTGATGACTGATACCAGATCCTGTCAACACCTCATGATCACACGTTGGTGTGCTTCTTCCATGTGGTCTTTGTTGCTTCCCAGCTAGATGGCCACGTGTTTATCTTCAAGCCTTTAAGACCCTGTATCTTTTAATAGCTGTCCACCATCAGCTTTCTTCACCACATTTGCTTATGCACCCATTTTGCCTTCAGTGATCCTGACGGGAAGGTGAGCATCACAGAATTGCAGGTCACTAGAACAAAGTGTTCTTTCCTTGAGGGAGTACTTGTGTAGAGGCCCAATATCCATCTAATAACTTAATTCGTAACATATGCATGTATGTACCTAGACCTATGTCCCTATCGTTACATAAAATATATCTACGTATGTATGTGCCGTATTTATACCTCTATAAATGCGTTTTGCCTCCTAGTTCTTTCCTCTATTTCCTTTTACTTTCCTCCTGTTCTACTCTCATGTTAGAACTTCATTCTGATCTCAGTAATTCTTGGCGACATTGCACTTGATCAAACCCCACCAGTCCTCATCGCCATAGATTTTAGATTACTTGTTATTCCCTTGTCCCTGGGTTTGTTGGCTCCCCCCTTCTTTCCCCCCCTCCCCCTTGCATACCCCCCCATGTTATTTTCTCTTCAGGATTGTTTATCCTGCCCATCCTATATAGACAGACATGAAAGAAAGGAGGGGGGGGGAGCCTATAAATAATTCAAGGTCTGTCTTTTGACACTTATGAATGTTTTCTGATTGAGTCTGATAAGGTGCCAAGCCCTCCACAGAAGTCTATTTTTGTAATTCCTCTAGGACTTCATTGATTTGTTTCCTTTGCTGCTCTGTTGCACTCCCTTCATGTTTCCCCCTGATGGTGGTGGTTAGGGTGGGGGTGGGGGTGAGAGTGGTGCAGGTGAAACCAGAACGAAAAGTATTTTCATCACCTGTATTGATCATTACTTTTTTTCTTGTTTCTTTTTCTCTTATTGTTCACAGATAGACAAATAACGGTTGCAATTTGATATTTTTCAAGTGTACAGTTACATCGAATCACTCATGTGCAACCTCCATCACATTTAAAAATTTACCTTAAGATGTTTGGCTTATCTTTTCACATTTTAAGTACAAAAATTTACTTGGATTGAGATTCTTTTTAAAAAAAAGAAAATCGGTGACTCTTCAGAGCAGAGAAACTAAGTTTTTCCTATAGCAGACACCAAAGTAAAGTTAGATGAATTTAAAATGTTACCCAACATGCTAGAATCTATACAAGGGGAATTTTCATAATAATCTAGAAAGTGAATCTGTATTTGTGACTAAAGAGTTTTATAGTTCCCGTGTCTATAGTTTGTAAAATTGGTTAATGAAATACCCTATACGGAATCTTAAATATTTGGCCCTTATGAGATTTAGAGGGCCATCAATACTAGGAACTCTGGTGGCATTGTGGTTATGTGTTGGGCTGCTAACGTCAAGGCCAGTAGTTCAAACCCACCAGAAGCTCCATGGGAGAAAGTTGAAGCTTTCTACTCCCGTAAAGAGTTGCAGTCTCAGAAACCCACAGGGGCAGTTCTCGCCTGCCCTATAGGGTCAGTATGAGTCAGAATTGACTCGATGGCAGTAGGTTTTGAGGATTTTTTTTAAGCCTCAGTGGCATAGAAGAGTCTAGCCTACCCTAGCAGGTTACTACTTCACATCCTTGGATATACTGACAATACAGAATTTTTGCATTATGAAGAGTATCTCTTCCAAAAATAGTTTTCTAGGATCCTAAAGAATCTAGGACTTTGTACAGGCACCTTTAACATCATTCTGATAGGGCAACCCATCTGGGATCCTTAAAAGATACCATACGGGGCATTTTCTTAGCAGCTCCTGTTAACCAGATTCTTGGGATTATAAAACAGTATCTACTCAACTTTCACTATACTCTCACTCCAAATGCCTTTTTTCTTTTCTTCAGCACTTTATCATTTTATATGTATACCTGTTTATAACAAGCGATTTCCATCTGGGTTAGTCAGTCAACCACTGAAGGGGATAAAGAACCACTTGGGTATTGTTAAGGATTAACCTGACTTTTGTGGATGGCAGAACTGTCACCACAGCTACTCTTTCCTGTCTCTCCCATTGTGCAGGACAAGAGGGGCTGTCCTAGCTCCACTGTCAGCAACACCAGCAACAGTGTCCATAAGGGTGCTGGCAGTGATTGTGGCAAGCAAATGGTGTCCAAAGGCAGGGGCAGTTTGAAGGGCTTGGTTTTATACTGGCAGACAGCATAACTAGCTTTGATAATTTTTGAAGACCAGATGAACAACCTGTACATGAATGTTTATAGAAGCTTTATTGACAGTAGTCAAAAAACAAACAGTTCAGATGCTCTTCAATGGGTGAGTACGATAAGGAACTGCAGTACGTAAATGGAATATTACTCAGTCAAAAGAGGACTTAACTATTGATGCAGGTAATGGCTGGCATAAATCGTCAGGGAATTTTTCTGAGTAAAAAAGCCAATCTTAAAAGTTTGCATACTATATAATCCCATCTAAGTAATAGTTTTGAAATGGAGAACAGACTTTAAAATATAGAGAGAACGCATTAGGGATCCTTGAAGGATGATGAAACTTCATGTCTTGGGGCATTTTATATGGAGAAACTAATCCCTGGAGGACACCATGCATGACAATACAGAGTGATGGGAAAAAGAAAAACTTTCCACAAGACGGATTATCACAGTGGCTGCAACAATAGGCTCAAATACAAGGACTAGAGAGTGTTTTGATGTATTTTACATAGTATTGCTAAGATTCAGGGCTGACCCCAACGGTACTTAATAGCAGGATGATTAAGGGGTTAGAGATGATGGGGAAGAGGGGTAGATGATGAAGGTGGATACAGTTATGAAATGTTAATAGAATTTTTTTTGCATGTTAGAACTGTTCAGGATCTTGGTTTTGAATAAACCTACACGTGATAAAATTGTATAAAAATGAATACACATACACAAAAGGACATGTAAAATTAGAGAAATCAGGAATAATACACATGGACTTTACCAGTTTCAATAGCCTGGTTTTGAAATTGTGCTTTGATTTTGTGAAATTGTTACCAGTGGTAATAATTGTATAAAGTGTACCTAAGACCCGTCTCTATTATATCCTACATCTGTATAACAAAACAAAACTCACTGCTATCGAGTCGATTCCAATTCTTGGTGGTCCTATAGAGCAGAGTAAAATTGTCTTTTGTGGGGTACCAGCCCCAACAATCGAATGGTTCCAAGGGTTGTTTGTGTAATTTAAGAGTAAAATTAGAGACATCAGACGAGATAAAGCATACAATTGCTCACCTCCCAGACAGCCATGATTTCAGCAGACAGATTGGCACAGAGAGAATGAATATATTTCCAAACAAGGTTTAGATACACTCAGGGGGCTAGAAAGCCCCCCTAACTACAGGTAACCACATGTGTAACAGGAAGGGGTTGCACAATAGGCACACGTGCAACAGGAGGGGGGTGAGCTAGGGGTGTACACGCAATAGGAAGGGGAGGCACTAGGGGCACACTTGACAAGATGGAAGGACCCTAGAGTCAAAATGTCAGCCTAACCTTGGTCCTCCCTGAGTAGGCTTGACTTTAGTCTGGGCTCTCCTTCAAGAGAACATGTAACAAGTATGAGAAATACAACTTTCCTCTAGTTCCTAAATGTTTCCTCCCTGCTCCCACTACCATGACTCGAATTCGACCTTGCAAGTCTGGCTAGACCAGAGGATGTACACTGGTACAGATAGGAACTGAAAATACAGGGAATCCAGGGTGGATGAGCCCTACAGGACCAGTGATGTGAGTGGCGAAACAGGGAGGGTAAAGGGAGAAT